TAATTGTACCTTCAAATTTCAACAAATTTATGGAATTCTAGTGAAAATTGATAAATGTTAAACTAGTCCCTGAAATTCCTAATATGAACATAACCTGAATTAAGTTCTTCACAGAAAAAAACTGTTGTTTGTTCTCTGCATCATACTGATTTTCAGAGAACCAGCTTTTATTCTAGCCTTAATTTATTGTTGTTGTTGTTGTTTTAGTTACAACATTAAAGCCTGAACTTGGAAAGATTATGTACACTGATTTCAAACAGGTGGGTATTTTTAAAGTAAGGCATTTGGATAGAGGTGGAAGCACTTGCTTTTGGTTGTTTTTGCTGTTAGTTGCCATCGTGTCGATTCTGACTCATGAAGACCCCATGTGTGCAGAGTAGAACCGCTGCATAGAGTTTTCAAGGCTGTGACTTTTCAGAAGCAGATCACGAGGCCTGTTTTCTGAGGTACCTCTGGGTGAGTTCGAACTGCCAACCTTTTGGCACCGTTTGTGCCTCCCAGGGACTCCTTGCTTTGGTTTCTTTATAAAATTTGCCTGTTTTGGTAGGAGAGAGGTAACAAGATTTTGCTTCATGATAAGTAATACCATAGTCAAGTTAATTATCCCGAGCATATATTCTAGTAATATATAAGAATTTAACTTCTAATCCAAAGTTTAGGTCCAGTTTGTCGCAACAATAGCATATCTTCTTTACCTGTTAATCTGTTTGGTCTTATTGCAAGTCCATATTTTATTGCCATATTTGATTATTGGTTTTCATTTCCTAAAAACGTTTTCTAAAGTTCAAGGCAGTAATGCTATTACAACTCTATCTTTGGAAAAAAAAATCTATTAAAATTTATTTTTCTTTGGTAAGAAAGAATTTATAAATCTGTATAATTGGAGAGAAAAAAATTAAAAAGGAAAAGAAAAAACCTTATTTTTATGCAAATGTATTATGTAAACATGTTTATATGTTGCTATAAAAAAAAAAGCGTAGTGTGCTTATGAAAATACCTCGCAGGGGGAAGGCACGGTGGGCAAATATCATAGAAGGTACGCGTTATTTGCATAAAAACAGTATGTATAATGTAAGTAAATGTTTATTCTTAACATAAAAGCTTAAACAAATCTGTTAAATCTGTGTTAAGTAGCCAAGTGAAATGAGTAAACAGTTACCTAGGAGGAATTAAAGTAGTAAATGATCATTTGAGGGAAAATGTTCAGTATCATGAATAATTAAGAAAAATAACCAGTTCATACCTATTAAATGTAGCTATTATTGACAGGGCTGTGAAGAAACAGGTATTCCTAATCAAACATTGATATTAATTGGTATACTCTTTATGGAGAGGAATCTGCCAGTATTAAAGAATAAAGATACTCCTTTGCTGTGAGACCAGAGGAAATGAATGGTGCCTGGCTACAATTACTGAACATTTTGATCAAAGATTCTGTAAAAGAATCCTGACCAAATGGGAGAAAATGCGGAACAGAATTTCAAATTCTCATGGAATCCAGGCTGGATGAGCCCCCAAACTGTTGCCTTGAGATAATCTTTAAGCCTTAAACCAAAAATATCCCCTGAAGTCTTCTTAAAACAAAACAGTAGTTCAGCTTAACTAGTAAAGAATGTCTGCCTTGAGCATTGTGCTCTCTTAAGATCTGTTTATATGGGATCAAATTGATAACAGCAACTCAAAGGATTAGATAGGAAAGTTAGCCAGCAGTAAGTTTATGTTAGTGGGGGAGGAACGACTCAGAAAGGGAGGGTGAGAATGGTTATACAACTGGAAGAGTAATCAGTGTCACTGAATTGTACATATGGAAACTGTTGAATTAGTATATGATTTGCTGTGCATATTCTCAACAACAGCAAAAAATAAATTATTAAGAAAAAAAAGAATAAACGTAAACCGGTTTATCCAATAATAGGAATATAGTCCTGTGAAAAAATTCATAAGAAATAATAGGCTTATATTCATTTATAAT